ACATAAATTTTAATGATTTTCTCTACATATACACACCGAATTTTTTGAAAGCTACTTCGCCAATGAACGTATACTAGATCGATCGTTTTTGAAGCAATTTAAAACATTCGCAGTGCGTGTTTTATCAGACCATCTTTATATCTAATAAAACACTGCTGTTCGTGTTTTAAATAGTGCATAAAATCTCTGCAAATCTCCGTAGTTGCCGAGCAAAAAGCATGCATGATCGATGCCAAATGTAAATCTCGACTATGATTGGATAATGAGTGAAGGTGCTAATTAGAAAACGTCAGTCATCCTTAATGAGCGAAAACAAATTTGTCATAGCCATTTGGGCAGGCGTTTCCTCTGTACCCGCCCGTCAGCTAAACGCCTGCTACGCAGGCTATTCCGATCGTGGACAGGCATATTTTTCAAGCTTTCCCGGTGTGGATATACACTCAGAGTCACATCACAAGCATAATGGTAAATTATGGTTAATATTATTTTAACCTTTTGTTCGTTTTTTCCTTCTTTTATTTCAAATACAAAGTATAATTAGCATAAATTTTAGAGCAAATTTGGACGCGCGGAATGCAGGAAATTGCATTTCCGGGCTTCAAATATCAAAAAATTTGGGGGGGACTATGCATGGTATGTCAGCCGTGTATATGGCCTTCCGCCATTGCTATACCTTTAATACATTATCTCACAAAAAGGTCCCTTTTCAAGAAATGCCCCCCTCCCAACGGGAAAATCCTTAAAAAAGGCCCTGCGTAATAATACTGCAACGGAGTTGCTGGAGCTGACTGAAATTTACCTTGCGAACGTCGGGGATTAAATGATTCCGGACAAGGCGCTTAAACCTGGTTTCCGTAATGGTCGTAAAAATAACGTAACGATCTTTCTCAACGGCCAGTGTATAGTTTATACCTGTAAACCACATATAAATCATAAGTATTATCTAGTTATAATCACTCCACGTATTTTTAGTTCTAAAATGTTCCATTTCGGCTGATCGGAGAAAGATCGTGACTCAATCTTTACGTATATACGACCGTTACGATCATACGGAAACATAGCTTAGCCTGAGGTGAGCGCTTAGCCTGAGGCGAGCATTTTGGCGAAAATTGAAGACAAAGCTCATTCTCGTACGCAGAGCCCTTCTTATATACGCGCGTTCGACCAAGCGCGACGAGGGGCTCTGGCCAAATCCATAACCGGATACCATAAAAACATGGTATCCGGTTAAACACTGCGCATGCTCAACGTCAATCGCGGATAAACACTTCGATTTTCTTGTTTGTTTCGTTTTGAAAGTTTTTCTCCAAGAAAACCCCACAAAAGCGGTAGGTTTCGCTAATTTTATTTATTTAAAAGTTCTCAATTGCATGTTGATAAAATTTAGTATATATTTCCCTCTTAAACGTTGCCAAAGCAGTAATGGCTACTGATACGAAGACGAGAGATGTCACAGATTGTCTCACTATTTTAAATTCGATTTTAAGTCGCTGTTGTACAGATTTTTAGACTTTTTTTGTGTTTTATTAAAAGTCAACAGTCATACATAAGACATACTATACTGCAAATCATTTGAAAATTGTAAAAAATCGGTTTCTAGGAAGAAAATAGTCATAACAATTAACTTCATATTCTGGCTGGCTTTAATATTTTCTCTTCAGATGGCACTTCAGCTTTGAACATGTAACACAGATTTGTTTGATTAACATCACTGATTTGGAAATACAACGAGCATCTGCCATAAATATGCTGACTTTTTGCTATGAGAACATCACGTCTCAATCTATTAATTTCAATCAACTAATTGATTTAAATAAATAAAATTAGCGACATCTACCGCTTTTGTGGGCGATTATCAACAACAATCTTCCTAACTGCTTCGTACTGCTGTTCTTTCAACTTTAATAATGTCTTTTCTCCCAATTTTCTCCAAAACGAAACCAACGCTTCATGGAGGGCTTGATTTTTATTCATATTTTATACAATAAACCATATATTTCGTTGTGGCCAATCAGAAGCCAGTTTGATATGGATTTGGCCAGAGCCCCTCGTCGCGCTCGGTCGAACTGCGACCGATCCCTCCTTTCCGCGGGTTTAGATTTCTGGGCACGAGATTTCCGGGCGCAAGAAAGGAAGGAGGGACTGCAGACAACACAGTAAGAAACTAGAGGGCACTCAGAGACTGCATACCTCCGCCAGTTACTCGGAAGTGAAACGCAACCTTGGAATTTCCTAAGAAATCCACTTTATAATTCTTAAGCATAAAAGATTTCAGGCCCCCGCGAATTGAAATCGAATTGCTAATAGAACATATTACTGTTGTTGTACTGTACAGTACTTGTAAAATAAAAACTTTTTAAGTGTCATTAAATAAATGCACAAATTTTGCGTTATGCACTCGCGCGTGCAGTAATTTTCACAGTTGTGCTATTTTAAATTCCCAGGCAGCTAAAATCTTTTGTCTTTAAAACAATGTCGATTTCTCGGGAAATTCCGAGGTTGCGTTCTTTTTATACACCCTGTATTGAAGTAATCTAATGTTGTTAGAATTTGAATGGACTGGCACTTTGCTGAACGTAATAATGCGTAACTCCGTAAGCCTTGTTTTAGACATTGAATTTCGGTCGCGTGAAATGCAACTAAGACAATAGATAATGAAGGCCGAAGCTTAATGAGGTTTATAATCTCATTACTGTCTTAGCACTGAGTGCATAAATTATACACGTCCTAATTACGCATTCAGTAATATATTTTGTTAATTGACCGGGAAAAGCAAGACAACATTTTGTTCATATCTCGTTCAATTTTTAACCAAATTCAACCAAATTTTAATCAGTTCTTCCTTAGCCGATGGGAAATGCACTCAAAA